TTTAAACATTTTAGAATATTTTAAAAATAGCAAAAATGGGGCTGTAAAAAAAAAAGTTAAGCGAAACAAGGGGACCTAAAACTGTCATCGTTAATTGAAGCATGGTCCCGAAATCGTTAAGCGAAAATCGCCCATAGGAAAAATCGTTAAGTGAAGCACAAGATCACTCTGAAAAAGCTATTGTTAAGTGAATTTTTCATTGTACGAAGCAATCGTTAAGCGAGGCACCACTGTATATGAACAGCTTGAAGTTATAGATATAGACCATATTTGGAATGCTTTATTTTCAGTCTCCTTAACACACCAATAAACAGTGTACATTTGAAATAGATAACACGATGACTTACTTTTTCCAAGTTAAATTCTTGGCTATTGGAATGTTTTTCTTCAGCAATCATTTTCACCTATATATTTAAGAAACAGAAAGGTTATTTATACAAAGCAATTGTCAGGACTGTTTTTCAAAAAGTATGATTGATAATGAGGAGAAGAGGGTATCCTATAAACTAGAGGTCTCCTACCCCCGGTGTGAGACCCGCAGCAGTCCACGGCCTATCCAGGACCAGGCCGCGGACACAGATCTCCTACCCCCCCATGAAAACCATTGTGTGCATGTGCATTAGCACATTCTGCCCCTGCACACGCTGTGCATATGCGTGTGAGTGGCCCCGTGACTGCCGTTGCGTGCATGCACATGAGCATGTTCTGCCCTGTGAGTGTGCTGTGCGCATGTGCTTGAGCGCCCCTGAGCTTGACATGTGCATGTGCGAGCTCTGCCCCCTGTGGGTGCGCCATGCTCCCCCCCCCAACCGGTCCATGGCTGGGAAAAGGTTGAAGACTGCTGCTATATATCCTGACTGCTGCCACTGGTGTTGTCAACATTCAAGCTGTTCTTTGCTACGTAAAGCTTGGCATCCTTTTTCCTGCTGGCAATGTGGGCCATTTCCTGGCTTTCTGAATCATAGGTAGAGAAGCAGAATATCCCACATTCATAAACCTGAGGGTTTTTTTTAAAGAATTATATTTCCTGGCTTTTCAAAATGGTAGTTTAAACATACCATATTTTTCTGTTTATAAGACAATGCTTTTGTGTAAAATATTTAGACTAATAATTGAGAGTCATCTTATATACAGAAGTGGGGAGAAAAGCGCTTTGATCCCTGCTTTTCCACTCCACTTGCTAAGCCCTGCTTAGATTTTTCAATTTTGGGTTAGAAATATGGGGGGGGGATCTTATACACAGAAAATATGGTACATATGCTACACACAAACTTTGACAGATATTTCCCTCATTTAAAATTACTCAGTGTTAGAGGTTTCCAGAAGATGAGCATATGATCTGTACTATGGTTACTAGGAAAAGACAGAAGTGAGAACAGCTGGGATGTGGCTGTAGTCCCCCTGTGCCAAAATATTTTGAAGGGCTGTTTTGGACTTAATGAAATGGTGAAGCAAAGGTGTGAGTTGACAGAAAGTGTACAGTGGAGAAACACACACATGCACACACTTTAACCTCTTGGTTAAACTAATTTTATCATGCCCACTCTGCAAACTAAGGAAGAAAAGCTATATCAGACTGAAAGCTCTGAGGACATGTTGTGTGCATGTTTTCCAAAAGATGTCCCTTTGTGTTTTGATTTTTTTTTAAGTGAAGAAGTTGCAGTTTGCAAAGAATGTCACTGGAAACCAAGATCATGTTGACTGCATGGGCTCTACTCACACAAGGCAATGCAGCCTCAGCAGAATCCTGACTGAGGAAAAAAGATGGGGGAAAGAGAGAGAGAAAGAGAGAGAGAAATGGAGAAACACACACACACTTTAACCTCTTGTTAAACTAATTTATCATGCCCACTCTGCAGAATGCAGACAAGAAAGCTATGTTCCAATATTCAAACCCTTTCTTTGAGTTTGGCAAACTAAGGAGGAAAAGCTATATCAGACTGAAAGCTCTGAGGACATGTTGTGTGCATGTTCTCCAAAAGATGTCCCTTTGTGTTTTGGTTTTTTTTGTAAGTGAAGAAGAGAGAGAGTGAGAGAGAGAGAGAGAAGACTAATAATTGAGAGTCATCTTATATACAGAAGTGGGGAGAAAAGCGCTTTGATCCCTGCTTTTCCACTCCACTTGCTAAGCCCTGCTTAGATTTTTCAATTTTGGGTTAGAAATATGGGGGGGGGATCTTATACACAGAAAATATGGTACATATGCTACACACAAACTTTGACAGATATTTCCCTCATTTAAAATTACTCAGTGTTAGAGGTTTCCAGAAGATGAGCATATGATCTGTACTATGGTTACTAGGAAAAGACAGAAGTGAGAACAGCTGGGATGTGGCTGTAGTCCCTCTGTGCCAAAATATTTTGAAGGGCTGTTTTGGACTTAATGAAATGGTGAAGCAAAGGTGTGAGTTGACAGAAAGTGTACAGTGGAGAAACACACACATGCACACACTTTAACCTCTTGGTTAAACTAATTTTATCATGCCCACTCTGCAAACTAAGGAAGAAAAGCTATATCAGACTGAAAGCTCTGAGGACATGTTGTGTGCATGTTTTCCAAAAGATGTCCCTTTGTGTTTTGATTTTTTTTTAAGTGAAGAAGTTGCAGTTTGCAAAGAATGTCACTGGAAACCAAGATCATGTTGACTGCATGGGCTCTACTCACACAAGGCAATGCAGCCTCAGCAGAATCCTGACTGAGGAAAAAAGATGGGGGGAAGCGA